TATATATATATATTTTGGTTGAAATAAAACATGATATTAGTGGAAGATCAATCGTTCACTTTCGAGAATGCTTGCTGGGTGAAGAACTTTAAGTGCCTGGATGTGTTACTTGTCTGCCACCCCGTTCCAAGAAGAAATCAATGTCTATTTATCTGTGATGAAACCAAAAAATGTATGGCTGTATAATAACCTTGTAAGCTGATATAATAGCTAAACAGAATTTTTTAGGGAATTTACGAATTGTATTCAAATAACATCCGACCCGTTATTTAGAACAGTTCCAGCATGTTAATGCGCAATATTAACACAGCGGGTATTTATTGTATCCTGCTTGGATTACTTTCCGTAATTAAAATACATGATTAATAATTCAAATAAAACTTCACGATCAGATTTTACCAAGCGTCACGACAGAATACAGTACTAAATTTCTTTGCATAATACTTGTTGACCTTGTACGAAATAACTATATCCACCATGTTGCGTCTGTATTCGACGTTTTTAATACTGACAGGATCGTTTATATCAGGTAATGCTTATTTATGTTTACCACAATTAGACCAATATAATTAACTGCCTTGCCAATGAAATGCTTGGAAACCATAGTAAAACAAAAAGCTATTATGTGAATGTAGCGATTCATTAGACGCTTATCAATTTGCTTACAAGAGTAAGGTTGGGGTAACTGATGCTCTTCTTACTTTTCTTCATTCCATTTACTCTCACTAGAAAAGAAGGGTTCATATGCATCAGTCCCCATATATCTCGTTGGATAGGAGAATGTTTAATCAATAGGCAGCAATATGTTAGGATTGGTGATGTGTTTTCAGACTTAATTATAACAAATACCGGTGTACCACAAGGCTGTGTGCTAAGTCCTGTTCATTTTTCAATATACAAATGACTTCTAGTGTCTCAATAATGATTCTTGTAAACGTATTCGCTATGATGACGCTGTTATCACTGGACTTATATCGTATTGTCAGAGTATGAGAATAACTATCGTAAAAAAGCAATTAATTATTGCTATTATTGCTTCAAACATGAAGGCCTTGGGACAAAAATAAATAATTGACTATTAATGATTATTCTTATGCTCAGTGGTTTTTAACTGGTGCATGTATGCACTAGATTTGCACGACGACGCGGCTCTAAACGGTTCACTCCTGCTTGACCGCCTTACGTTCTCTGCAAAACCGTCGATTTGTTCAAACCAGACTCAGTGAAATTTCAGTGTTCCCTGCTCAAACATACTCCATGATCACACTGCGTCCTAGAATCCGCACAACGAGGAGAACCTGACGTTCCCGATACGGAGATGAAATATTAGTGACGTTATTACTGTACCTAGATTCTACCGCGTCGTGCAATCGGAAGCTCCCTAATATCAAACATTGGCTAAGGAAGCAAAGCTTAAGTAATTAAGAACATAAAACTTCCATTAAATTACTTTATCGATAACCTAAGAAGGTTTAGCAGGAGAACTGTTTCTACAATATAAAGCCATGCTATTTCTTATTATCCGTTTTTAGTTTAAAACGTTTTGATTGGTATTTCGATTCGTTTTCCAAGACAATATTGCAGTATTGTGGGTGAGGGTGTGTCAACGTAGCGCATACTATAAAATAAGCTACCAAAGACGGTTTTGAGAAAGGCTTGTTTACTTTATTAAAATAATATACCATTAGTATACAGCATCAATATACCATTATTGTGAACGTTACTCTAAACTTTCTTGTTTCTTTAATAGTGAACAATGTTTCTGTTATAAAAAACAATGAAACGCTAATAACTGAAATGCTTCTAAAAGCTCTTGGACCGTGGCCGACAAATCGACCCGTACTTGACCCGACTACAGTAGTCAATGTAAATCTGTCTTTTGTGTTAACTCAAATTATTGAGCTGGTAAGTTTCATGAAATTAAGTATTACCGGTATATTACAGTGTATTGTTAGATTAATAAAGTTCAAGTTTAGCAACTCAGCTAATAATTTACGTTATGAATAACGTTACAACAACGTAACAATATTATGTGCAATTATTATTTTTTTAATTTGAGAACGATAAATATGCATTTATAATGTAATTTCCAACCAAATAATCTTGCTAACGTTTGTGACATCTTGTGTTAGCGTTATTTATTTCTTTCTTACAATATTCTACTCACAGATCGTGAATGTTAGACAGTGCACCCTACCATTCGTGACCCCTCTAATTCCAAAACCTGCCTAATTTGAGATCACTTTTTCAAAGAACCCAAAAGCAATCTTCAATCTTTTAATACAAAGATAACCCTCCAATTGGAGACCGAACTCCGAGATGGTCCCAAATTGTCAGGTCCCAAAGTTGGTCTCGAATTAGAGGATGAACTACAATAACGGTAATGTTTGCCAGGAAGTCATCGTTTGATATGGAGTGATTTTATTTGATTGCTTGACGACATTATTTTGATTTTGATGTTTATTATATTTCAAATATCTGTGACGATAGTGATGATGTCAGTTAGATAAAAGTAATACTGAAAGAGTTTTTATTTATTCATTTATCAAGCTTTGGTATGATTTCCCAACTGAGTTTAAATAAACGTTATGAATCACGTGTTTATATAAAGAATATTTCACGAATCGCTCCCTTTGTTGTGTGTTTATTTTATTTATTGTGTCTTTGTTGTTTGGCTTGTGTTACTTGTGGTATTGTTGATTTATTCACCAAAGTTGTTGAAAAGGTTGTGCTTTGTAGAAGGAAACTTACAAGTGCACAGTAGGGCCTACCTATACTAGTCCAAAATGTCTCTTTCAGTATTAAAGAAGAAGTTTACCAACAATTTAAGAACTGATTAAGCATAATCAGGCACATAAGATCCCATTTTTGAAATTACGAATCCTTGGCACGTTCTTTACGTAAACGCACGAAATTTGTGATGACGTCAGGTACCTTGCACATCTACGTTTATCGACAGGCCACTGTAATACATTGGGATGGCTCTACACAATTTTATTGCATTTTACTATCTTTGTATTCGTATAATATGGTCTAGGTAAAAAAGAAGAAGTAATTGTAGACCCACTTGAAGAAGAAGACATTGAACATCGGAGATGGAGACAAATCAAGAATTATAATGCATAATGTCTGTGCAGTTTAGCCAGCAATAATGTAAATTGAACAATTAGGCTTACTAGGCAGTTTGTGAAAAAGAAAAAAAAAATGTGTTTGTTGTCATAAGTTCCTTGGATAACAGGTCTACCTTTGTTAGATTAATTTGAAGCAGACTACGTAATTAACGACGGTAATTTTATAGGTTTTGTAACCCAGAGTTTTTGGCTTTTCTAGGTCGTAGACACCGAAATTTTAAATGTATCAGTGCGTGATATTGCTGCAATTCTCTCTACTGTAGAATTCTGGGTACACATGGTTTGAACAAAATTTGTTCAAACCATGTGTTCCCGTATTTGTTCAAACCATGTGTTCCCGTATATAATACGGTCTTGGTAATGATACATGTAAATAAGATAAATTAGTTCTCAAATTACATGAAATTGGTCAACCTCTTCTTTAAACACTACTGGTATTTAGTACAGTACTGAAATTATTACATTTGATGAAAAAATTGTGTGGTATAAATCAGGAAAATAATTATTTCAGAATGATATTGAACAGGAATTGAAAGTCGCTGGCTGGTTTAAAATGGTAAGACAGACCGATATTTTTTGTTATGTATGCCATACTTTGTACAATGTTTCAATTGCCTTTCGTGTGATAATACAATACAGATATAAATTAATATAGACATTTTTTTTTTAACAAGAAGTCAAACGTGCCGAGAAATGATACTCAAAAGCGAACCAAATCAATTGGGTTCCTTAAAACAATGCTTTCTTTTGTCAACATTATAGTGATTCATTTAATTATATACTATTTAATTATTGTTTATGTTAGATATGCGAGTCCAACATATTTTTTTTAATATGTAAGCATGATGTAACCATGACTTATTTTAATTTAAAGATGATATAATAAATGAACCTCTCAAAATAATTGATTTTTGCATGATATGAATGACAAAACATATATATATATATATATATATATATAATTATATATAATTATATATTTAAGCAATGGGAAGACGAGCATATTAGCTGGGATGCGTCAAAATACGGTGTAAATTGTGTTACTCTTCCCGTAGAAAGTATCTGGAAACCCGACTTAACTCTGTACAATAAGTGAGTAAAGCTAAATATGTCTTCTATAGGTTGTATTTTGATAATATATATCAGTATTAATTGTTGACTGTTGCCAGTGATAATTCAAATCTTATAGATATCATCAACATCCTTTAATGTAACCATATTGTCTCCATCTTTAAGCTGTCAAGACAAATGTTTATAAATTTAAAAAATCAGGAAGTCTTTACGAACGGTACTGTACCGTACTTATATTATAAGTACGATACTGATGGCGCAAAAGTCGGCTAGCGATAGAAGCGCCAAATATTACTAACAGTTTTTAAATTTCTGATCATAAAGATCGCATTCTGACCTTTTCTGCTTTGCACATAATGTGATAATTCACTAAATAATGTAAATTAAAAAAATAATGTTAACAGTAGTAGGACGCTCAGAACGTCTTAAGTTCAATTAAAGCGTTTGACTATAATGCTAATAATAAGCCTACTCTGAAAAAATAATGCTTTTGGGATAGGTCTATGTTTTAAAAATTCATATATATTTATTGACAAAACAATTACAAATGATCTTTTTTCTTGAAATCAGGCTTAACTTTAGAGATGGACATTTCCTATCATTTGACCTTAATTCTACCCACGAATGTTGTACTCATAGGTTAAGAAGAGACGAGATGAGACTATTTTGGGTTTCTACGGATTTTCTATTATGAAGCCCTTATTAAAATTCATCTTGCAAATTTATTTAACAGGCCTGCCATTTGAGTTAAAACACCAAGTCAGTTTACTTTGATTCTCATTTTAATTTTACTGTTATTCAATTGTCTAGCATTGACGAGGAATACAATCAGTTTCCACCGAATGCCCCAGTAGTGGTGTGCTCAAACGGAAGTGCAGTATACTCAACGTATGCTATATTCCGAAGTTCCTGTCATATTCATATCCAGTTATTCCCATACGATAATCAAACATGCACCTTACGATTTGCTTCGTGGATATATGATGTTTACGAGTTAGATGTTCGCCCAGAGTTACGCACTGCAGATCAGAACGATCAGTTCGATGACCACGGGGTTTGGTATCTTCTTGGAGTAGATGGAAAACGCGAAGTGGTGCAATACAAGACGACCTTTAACCCATATGTGCACACTGTCTTTTATATTCACCTCAGTCGACGTCACGAGTTTCAGTTACTTTTTATATTGATACCTTACTTTTTCTGCTCCTTTCTCATCTGTTTGATGTTCTTTGTTCCGTTTGAGAGTGGTGAAAAAATATCGTACGGAATCACTGCTGTTCTAGGAATGATTGTCTTCCAAGAAATAATTGCGTTTTCACTGCCACCGGTTGGAAATGAATCTTCGTTTGTTGGTAATTATACGCGTCTTTGCATTCCAACATATTTATGGTCATACTTTTAAAGTATTTCTATAAATGGTGGTAATAATAATATTGATAATTATGAGGTTATAATGAAAATGATGATATTATGAACACAATGACGATGATGATGGTGGTGGTGATGGAGTATTTGGTTGTTGTAAGGATGATGGTGATGATGACGATGATGATGATGATGGAGGTAGCCGTGAAACTGACGGTGACATAACGATAACGAAGAGACGACAACGATGAAGATTATGATGATAGTAAAGTATACATTGCACTACATCACGTAAAGGATTCTAAAAACTGATGTGCTTATTATCTCAATAAGCTTACGATGACAACAGGCATTTATCACTCTCCGGAAGACGAATTGAGCAAATCTATTCGAAACGTCAAAGAGATACTCTCCACACACCCATTCTTCTCAGAACTATGTGATGCCTAAAAGTTAACACAACAGAACGACCTAATAATAACAGAATAAAAGCTAAAACTAGGCATTAAGAGATAATAAAAAAAAGCAAATTTTCTGTGTTTCACTGATCCGAAAAAAACTAACAGTACTCATCTGTACTGGACTATATACTATGCCGATTAATATTTTCAAACATTCACATGATCAAATATTTAGGCTACTGTTGTTATTTTACTAATTGATTGATTGATTGATTGGATGGATTTTTTCGGTGTAAATACCAAAGATAACCCACGAAAGTTTGAAAAAGACTGATCAAGTATGAGAATTGAACATGCGACCAAGATGGTTCAGCGCACATACAGGGGCTACCACAAGTTTAGCTGAATGAGCTCTCAATTTTCTCTCTGACTTTGTTATTCTATTTAAAAAAAATCATCACTTTGTTTTTGTAGGAAAGTATTTTACATCAGTGTTCTGTATTGGAATCATATCGGTCTTTGTGGAAATCACAGTTTATAACATTTACATGCAAGGGAATGTGTACACGGCATGTATGTTTGTACTGAACTGGTATCGCACTCAAACTAGAGTCGCTTCAAACGGACCAATCAACATCTATGAAATGGGAGAGACAGAAGAACCCCAAATAGAACAAGGCAACACGACAACAGCGTCATCAGCGACTGAGCACATAATAAAACTAAGACGTAATTGTGCTATATTTGATTTCTGCTTTGGAGTTTTGTGTCTTACTTTGTTACTTATACTTATGATGTGGTTTGCAAATAGACCTAAATAAATGTTCTATTTATTTAATAGGATAAAAATAATGCAAAGTGATTTCGCATTTGAATTGATATATATGTTTGGAAAAATCTTATTAATATTACTTTCAATAATACTGGTCGTAGAATCATATCTAGTTGGAACAAAACTGTACTTAATGGACCCAGTTTGCACACAATAAATTATCATGTGCTCTAAATGAATCAAGGGACCTTTTTTTAAAAATAAGAACAGGGTGTTACATCGATGTCACTGACAAAATGTATAAAGTAGAAAGATGTAGGAAAAGTGGTTCGTAATTTTCGCAACATTTCCACTAGGGGAGCTTTATAAGGTCTGTTTAATAAAATTGTAGAACAAGTAGTAAAATTCGTATACAGAGGAATATCTAAATAATACAATGTGGTTTTAACAATTTTTCACAATGTTTTATTGTTTAATTCGTTGCGTAATTATTATATGTTTTTAAACTTTGACAATAATGCCATCATACTTTTATAATAATTATATTAATTAATAATTATTACAAATATTTTAATGTACTTTGTTATATTTTACTGTCCCATATTTTTCGCATGTTTACTATGTAATACTATTGTATATTTGTATCATATATATATAAATATATATAGGCCTATATAATAAAATAAATAAATAATAATGATAATGATAATAATAATAATAATAATAATAATAATAATAATAATAATAATAATAATAATAATAATAACAATAATAACGATAATAGTTGTAAGATCCGGTAGACAAGACTTCGAGCCAAACTATATGTTTCACCATATTCTCCATTGGTTTCACGCCAAGGCGATTATAGGTATAGTAAAACATAGTATAAAAGTCAATTACAGCGGCATGTACAATGGCCAAAGCTATTATCGCACAAAACCAGTACCTTCTAAAACCAAAAATACTGCCAATCAAAACCAATTGCCCATTTCAAGGAAATTGCGTGGTAAAACCAGTCTAATATACAAAGCCACCATCGCAAACAACCAAGAAACAAAGAGTATCGGCCTAACGGAGAACGACCTCAAATTCCGATACAATAATCATACTATATCACCCTATTCTAAATAAGTGCATATCTGGAACCTAAAGGATATGAGAGTGAGCAGACTGCACAATCTCATGGAAAAGCATTTAACAAGTGCGATCAATCTCTAACATGTCGAAACGATGTAAAATCTGTCAATTGGAAAAATACTTCAAAAAGCAACAACACACTTTATAAAACGTGCGAACTCGTTTTGACTTGTAGACACCAAAGAAATTGTTTGCTCAAATTTATTTGCATATACATGTAACTGCCTATATATTGTAACTCTTGATTTTATACATGCTTAACTATGCCAGATGACCGTCTTGGCATGAAGCCAGTGGTAACAATAGTGAAACATATACCTTAAAGTTCCTGGTACTGGACTCTACCTAACAAGACTACTGAGCACTTTTCTTTGTCTGTCTGGCATTCATATATATATATATATACTGTATATAGGCCTATATAATATTAATCGAGCAATAATATTAGTTTGTTTATATAGGCCTATATATAATACTTACAATAAACAATATTAATTTTATATTTGAATTTCTGGGTCTTACCGATATCTAAATTTAGTTTTTGTATTCATTAATTCGAAACAAGAAATGAAGGACTCGACCCAAATATAGGATTTTAAAAGAAATATTATGAAGGGCGTCCATCCGTTGTGAAAAGTGAGGGGGAGAGTGGGAGAGGAATTCCAAAATAAGGAATTCTTAGGCCGTAGGCCCAAGCCTTTGGCTAGGGACCAGGTGCCGTCTAGGGTCCCGGTGGTGTCCAGGGGTGAAGCCCCCGCAAGCTTTGGCATTAATATGGCCTTTCATAAGTCGTATCTAATTAATTTTAAGGAATGCAATTAAAATTTATTTCCACACTACATTTTTCCGTGTGGTGGAAATTCGAAATAGAGGGAGCCCAGGGAGGGACTTTTAGAGATGGAGTGTAGACCACCTCAGTCCCACCATGGTTGGGGCTGAGGTAAGAAAATTTATGATTATGGCACCTACGTCGTGCCGAAAATGGCACTCTGAGACTTAAATTTGAATATACTTTCCTTTTTTCCACTTTTAAATTTTGAAAAAAACCAAAACAAAATAGGGATTTTGGACCGGCTGGGCCCCTTGAATCTGCTACTGAAATACTCATCATAAAAAATTTGTTCAATTTACCCTGGTAATCATAATCATGCCCATTTACATATTTCGTGCAGACTAACATTCATAAAAATGATTTATAATCTACTGATACTTGTGAAGTATAATGAGAAACAAATGATAAACCATGTTCCTTCTTTCTTAAAACAGTCACTCCCATTCTAGTCTCTGTGCATGTACGGTAAATTTAAAAATCAATCAAGAGGTTTTTCCTTTTCTCCTCCTTTTGAATTTCACTTTTGTGCAAGTAGTATTTCGACTACACTATTGTGAGTGGAAATACTACCGTTTAACTTACGATCAAACAGGAGCACACAAAACATTAGTTTGCATTTTTATTTCACAAACATAATAATTAAAGGTGATTTACTTAATTTATTATTGTCATGATGTCATAGCACGACTTGTGTCAACATCGGGGTACGTAAACTTGTGGCATCACTACTCAATAAGTCGAAATAGACAGACCTATCCGTGTCAAAGGCGGTATACTTGTTTAATAACGGCTATATAAAATTGAATTGACTAAAAGTATAAGTATATACAGTATATATATTTTTAATTATTAGGGAAACAGGAATCTATGTATGCAGATGATATTGAACACTAATTCATCCGAGTCTTAATAATAAATAAAAGGATTAAATCGTTTATAGTAGAAATTGTGCACTTTTGAGTTTGTAAAAAAATGTTGGCTTAATAGTACACGCTTCCAATTTTAATAACGTAAAGCACATTGTTTTCATAATAAATTTAGCCTCTGATAACTGTTGAACCCATAAAATCGATGGAGTGGTTTTGTGGAATGGAAATTAGAAAGAACATTCTCTTTAGCGAAACTTTTACAAATGAAAACGATTATGAAACCTTCTGGATTGCATGGCGCGATACCTTTCTTACAATCTGCAATAAACATGCGCAAATCAAAACTTTGCGAATAAAAAATAAGCATTCATCTTAGCTTACACCCGAAATTCTTTAATTAATGTATAATACTTAAAACATACGTCTGCTCAAGTAAAGGATCATACTATTGAATCCGATCGCAAAACAAGAAAAATAGCAAATCGCAAAATAAAATAGGAAAAAAAATAATACTTTAACAACGTTGAAAGGCAACATTAAAAACTCTAAAAAACTGTGAGATGAACTCAACATGTTTATTGAAAAAAATAATCCACTATACATGATGATATTGACTGTAATGTAATTAATGATTATTTTTCTAATATATTAGCACATGGGTGTCATTTAATGAACATATGTATGAGGTGCCATACGCAGGAAAAATCTATTGTTAAAATCAATGTGTTATTGCAAAAATCAATGTCTAATTTCTTAAAATGTAGATGTAATTTCTCAAAATGTAGATCTACTTTTGAAAAACGCAATATTAATTTTCCTAAATGTAGTACTAGTCTCTTTAAAATGTAGTTCTAATTTTTATGAAAACGTAGTTCTGATTTTATCGAACGCCCTCTAAATTTTTTCCCGAAACGTAACTCAAAAACCAGCCGAGCATGACTGCTTGTTTGATTTTTATTTTGGAACAACTCATGCGAAATGTAAATCAAAACTAGCCAGCCAAGCGTGACGGTTCAACCATTCATTCAAAGGGTCAGCAATCATCATGTCTCAAAATTCTATCAATAATACTTTCTTCCCCTGATGAGTAGGCCTACTATTCGAAACGAAGATGTGACGTTTAATGAACTTTTCTGCAAGGATTGGAGGTTTTCTTAAGGTACTGCTTAGTTATTATTTTGGAATACTGTATTATAGAATCCATGATAACAGGTACGCTAAGCGAGAGACGTGTTTGAAAGCGTTGTACACGACATTGGACTGCAGGGAAAGTTGATTCCCCACCATTAGTGGAACATGCCTTCAAGCTTGGCTGGCTAGTTTTGATTTACATTTCGTTTTTCTAGTGTTGTAAAATCATGGAGGTATAAAAACCCTCCATGATTTCGCCAGGGAACAGTGAAATTAATTTCACAACAACACTAGACACCTCCATGGTAAAATCTAAATCAAACCAACCGTGCTTGGCTGGTTTTGAATTACGTTTTGTAAAGACGGTGGTTGATCTACATTTAAAAAAACTACATTTTAAAGAATGCAGATCCACATTTGGGAAAATTAGAAGTACGTTTTGAAAAATAATAGAACTTGGTTTAAAGAAAGTAGACATACATTTTGAGAATTTAGACATACGTTTTGAGAAATTTAGACATTGATTTTCGCAATTAAATTTTGATTTTAATGGACTTTTGCTGCGTAGGGCACCCCATATATAGGCCTAACTACCTGGCAAAATCCACAATGTGAATACTCATTTTTATATAATGAAATTCAGCAAAAAAGCATTAAAAACCGTCTTGATTAGCTTAAAAATCAGTTGAAATTAAATTTAGATAGTAAACTTGTAGCCCCATTCATCGCAAAATCTCTCTGCCAAATAATACATTTCTCCTTGTTTACTGGTAAAGTCCTTGGTGACTGGTAAAGTCCTTGGTAATTATCTAGAACAACTCTTGTGTATATAGGTAAAGGGGACAAAAGTATAATTAATAATTATCGGCCAATCTTTGTAACCTGCCACGTGGCAAAAATTGTCAAAAGAGAGGTCTAAGAACAGATGATGGCCTTTTAAACTAAATTCAATTTAATTTGTATTGAGCAATTTGCATACCGGGAAAAACACGATATCTTCTAACCATTAATTTGATAACTTACTTTTTGACATTAAAAAAAAATTGAATCACTATCCATGTTAGTATTTCATTGTAATTTCATGTATTTTGTTCATTTGTCCTTATATTAATAATTTTGTCTTTTATAGATATTTCATTGTTGTTTTAATCAGAACCATGGTAGATCAGTTGTAGTATGCTTTGTCAATTTATTATTGTACATTTACTTTCATTGAATAATGTTTTAAATTTAAAAAAAATGTACTGTTATTCCTGTCTCTTTATATAATAATAGGCAAATATATATTCTTACTATTACATTTAATGCTTGTTGTTTCTAGATTTATTATATATATAATATATTTATTTTATTTTATTTTCAATCTTTCGACAAAAACAGAAAAGTTGGACAGGGGTGCCGAGGAAAAGCAAAAGTTAGAAAAACTGTCATCAAAAGATGTGCTTAACCAACCCCTGCCAACAAAACAATACAAAAGTTTAAACATTAAAATGAACGAAAGTAAAAAATAAAACAACATATTAAAATTTAAAAACATACAAAAAAAAAAAGGTTTAAATACAATTATAACTTCCATAAACAGAATTAAGTCATCTACAGAATTTTAAAAATGCAACCGT